TGTTCGTACGAACCCTTTGTACGAACAAAAGTAAGAGAAATTTAGGATAAGAATACGAACATGTTCTTGCATGAGGCCCAATTAGAGTATTTAATTGTAACTAGATGTGAGGAACTTCTAATCATAACCAATAATCTTGAGTACAAACAGCAAAAATTGTTTTATGTAATAAATATTAACTGGGATGAATCTAAAACATATCAGACTCACCATCTGAGTTTTTACGTTGCTTTCCTATATATTCTGAGATTTTGTCCATGATCTCTGAAAACTTTAAAACACACAACAGGGTTAAAAAGGTCTTATTACAAATATCACCTCATTTTTTACCTTTATACTTTTATACAACTCAATATTATTTAAAACCTACAAAGCTTCCAATAAAACCAACCTGTTTGCTGTTGCGGAGCTTAGCGATGGATGCAACACTCTCAGCTTTACTGTAGTCCACTTCCATCTCCTCTGGAATGTCTTCCAGCCCTCCCTCCGCCCTTCCCTGGGGCCCCTCTCCATCACTTTCTCCTTCTTCGTCCTCTGGATACAACCCGTCCTCTCCTTCATCTCCAGCCTCCTCCAGGTCAGCCAGAAGCTCGTCTGCCAATGACATCTGCAGAGAGATGGAAAATATTTGGCACATAGGACAAATTCACAGAGGTGAAACATAAATAACCAATCAGAAATGGAGCATATGATCTAATTTACTACATCGCCAAATAAGACAAACTTATAGCATTAAAATACACAGCAGACTGAAAAGCTCAACCTGTTACCCATAAAGAATATAATTCCACAAAAGCTTCAGATCTGTATGAACCAACCTGGATCTTAATGTGTTTCCCCAGGTGCTGAGGCAATACTATGGTAGGACAAGTATTATTAAGTATGCTTCATTTTCCCTATCAAACCAGAAAACCATAAAAAGTTTGTTTGTGTCAGAAAAAACTATTAAACTATTTTTAAAAAATTAACCAACAGGAGAAAGTATCAGGATTCTGAGAAAATGTGCTTAATAAACTACATTATTTATTGAAATAAATCTCTTAATTCTATCAAACAAAAAGCGCTTCAGTGAAACGGATGTGAAAGGAGATAATTTTTCTACAAGAACATACACTCACCGGCCACTTTATTAGGTACACCTGTCCAACTGCTCATTAACACTTAATTTCTAATCAGCCAATCACATGGCGGCAACTCAGTGCATTTAGGCATGTAGACATGGTCAAGACAATCTCCTGCAGTTCAAACCGAGCATCAGTATGGGGAAGAAAGGTGATTTGAGTGCCTTTGAACGTGGCATGGTTGTTGGTGCCAGAAGGGCTGGTCTGAGTATTTCAGAAACTGCTGATCTACTGGGATTTTCACGCACAACCATCTCTAGGGTTTACAGAGAATGGTCCGAAAAAGAAAAAACATCCAGTGAGCGGCAGTCCTGTGGGCGGAAATGCCTTGTTGATGCCAGAGGTCAGAGGAGAATGGGCAGACTGGTTCGAGCTGATAGAAAGGCAACAGTGACTCAAATAACCACCTGTTACAACCAAGGTAGGCAGAAGAGCATCTCTGAACACACAACATGTCGAACTTTGAGGCAGATGGGCTTCAGCAGCAGAAGACCACACCGGGTGCCACTCCTTTCAGCTAAGAACAGGAAACTGAGGCTACAATTTGCACAAGCTCATCGAAATTGGACAAGAGAAGATTGGAAAAACGTTGCCTGGTCTGATGAGTCTCGATTTCTGCTGCGACATTCGGATGGTAGGGTCAGAATTTGGCGTCAACAACACGAAAGCATGGATCCATCCTGCCTTGTATCAACAGTTCAGGCTGGTGGTGGTGGTGTCATGGTGTGGGGAATCTTTTCTTGGCACTCTTTGGGCCCCTTGGTACCAATTGAGCATCGTTGCAACGCCACAGCCTACCTGAGTATTGTTGCTGACCATGTCCATCCCTTTATGACCACAATGTACCCAACATCTGATGGCTACTTTCAGCAGGATAATGCGCCATGTCATAAAGCTGGAATCATCTCAGACTGGTTTCTTGAACATGACAATGAGTTCACTGTACTCAAATGGCCTCCACAGTCACCAGATCTCAATCCAATAGAGCATCTTTGGGATGTGGTGGAACGGGAGATTCGCATCATGGATGTGCAGCCGACAAATCTGCGGCAACTGTGTGATGCCATCATGTCAATATGGACCAAAATCTCTGAGGAATGCTTCCAGCACCTTGTTGAATCTATGCCATGAAGAATTGAGGCAGTTCTGAAGGCAAAAGGGGGTCCAACACGTTACTAGCGTGGTGTACCTAATAAAGTGGCCGGTGAGTGTAGTCCTGAACATTCATACACTGCAAGAAAATGTCAAATGTTCTTCTACACACTTAATTTTACTGTTTTTCCAGTAATTTCGCAAATTAGTGAAACAAGTCAAATGTTCATAGGGTTCACACAAAAAATGCAATATTTTGCTTTGTAGGAAAAAAAAACACTTTTACCTCTTCATATATAACACACAGCATGCGAGAGAATTTAACACAACTTAGTAACAGTTAATTTCTTGTTTTAAATTTATTACCATTTAAACAACACTTTCAAAGATGTAGAACACAAACAACAAACAAACAAATAAATCTAAATACGTAAATGGAATCATTTTTACCAGAGTTTACACCGAGTCTGCGCTTAGCTAGCTAGCATAATAAACGTCTGTTGAACGTTACTCAGTTTATTTGAAATGTCTAAACTTACCTTTAAAGATTAAATGCCGGCCAATTGAATATTGATTATTAAAAATAAAGACTTCAGAAAACAATAAAGACTTATTATGCAGTTAAAATTGACGTTTCTGCCCTGGTTTGTTTGAGCTCTGATGGTTGCGTCGCGAACTAAATACGTCACGAGCATCGGTGAGCTTCCAAAGCCTTCTGGGAAATGAAGTCAGTATAATTCAAACCGATTCTGAGGTTCAACACGGAATTTTATTTTATTTTATTTTTAAAAAATTCTCCTCAAAACCCTGCGTTTACTATCATGAAAAAGTTCAAAAGAGAGGTTCACAATTTTAGCTTTTATTTCCCCTTGTTTGTACATCACCCCCTTTGAAAATCATTTTCAAACATTACTTTTTTTAAACCAACATTTAAACAGACTAAACAGACAAGCTGGGCCTCTGCTGCATGATCAACTGGTAATAGTATAAAAAAAATCAACAAAGGACTTAAATATCAGAAATGCAAACAAATGGAACTAATTTACTCATGAAAAACTTCGATTCGTGGCGCTAAGCTACATTTAACCTTTATCAAACAAACAAACAAACAAACAAACAAACAAACAAACAAACAAACAAACAAACAAACAAACAAACAAAAAAGGAGATAAGTTGGCTGAAAATTATTTGACTTTGGGAAAAATATTTAAACATTACAGGACATATTTCCATACAGTAAAGTTTGCCAGAAATTAACAAATAAAATTATAGAAAATACATTTTTTTTCCAGCAATCAAGATGTTTGGGGAAAATATTTTATTTGTTATGAAGATTTTAGAGAACTTAGGCGCATTCCATCCCAAACAATTTATAGCTCATAAATGTAAACAGCACTAAAGCAAATAAATAAATAAATAAATAAATAAATAAATAAATAAATAAAATTAATTACATGACTTTGCATAAATAATTACAATAGTGTAAGAAAAAAGTTTTACCCTAAATTTAAGCTTAAAGAAATAGTTGAGTGTGTAGACCAAGAATTCATCTTAAATAAAAGTTCTAAAATAATATCGTTTACACTTCTATCATGAGTTTTGTACAAATGCTAAGGAAAATTTTCAAACACAGGAGTCAAATTGCTGCCTACAAGAACAGCGAACTGACTGCAAAGGAAAATGTCCAGACGGGAATCAATCCAAGCATTTACAGAGACAGATGAACGACTGAGGAAAGTGCATTCTCCACATAAAAAGTATTCAACAGAATGAAGCAGGGAAAAATAAATAATAAAAATAGAAGGTAAGCTGGTACAGCAAGACTCCCACTGCATAGCTGACAAATTAGTTTCAGATTTTACAAAGCTCCAGGTTCTTCTTTTCACAGCATTTGTTGTCTTTTCCAAAGACGTCTGTTGCCAAAGGACTACAAATAAACTCTGTAAACAGCGGCAGGCGGGAGCTCAGCATCGTCGTACAAAATCCTGTCTCTGGTAAAATCCGGAATGTGTCCAGCATTTTTTTTTTTTTTTAGAATCGGAGTCTCATTCTTTCCGTTGCCTTTTTTTTTCTTCAATAAAAAAATATCTTTTCTGGGTGAATGGCTGGTTGTCGGATAAATTCATTGGCCACTCGGCGAGGGTTCATCTCTGGCGGTTCCTGTAACGATGTTTAACGTCACACCATATGGGGGTCGTCAGCGGGGCTGACGGTGAAGCGCGATGACGTCACAGGATTGGCTCCCACTGGTGACCTTGGCTTGAATGAAAACTCTTCTTTCCTTTTTGAGTCTTTGTTTTTGCTCGGCCCTAATGAAAAAAAAGTCTCATCAGTTAAAACTGTTGGATTAGTGAGAAATGTGTAATTTATTGTTTTATTGTTGTCCCACCCCCAAAAATGTTGCTTCATTTTAATGTTTGGTAGATTATTTCTTTATATAACTATTTTTCTTGGCAACAATTGGCGGGACCTAGAGTTACCAGAAGCTCAAAACCAGTGTCAATGGCAACAGCAGAAGAAGCTGCTTGACAGAGAGGTGGAGGCCTCCGTTTTCAGTTGTCCCCCTCCTACAGTGCTGCTATTGCCAGTATCACTCCACCCCCTGTTAACAATAGGTGCTAATTAGGTGACAACGATAGCCATGTGATGTGAGTATCAGTCACATGGAGGCAGGGCTTAAAAGCCTGAATTTTGCCTGAAACTCTCAGACTGAAGAAGTCTCTTGGAGAAGAGACGAAACGTTTCATTAAAGAACCCGTCCAGAGGACCTATACAGTTTTTTTTTTCTTTTTGCTTGACAGAGAATTTGGGTAATTTTTCACGTGCACAACCCACATAGTACTCAGCTCTACTGCTCACCCCACAAATACATGTTCTTTACAAATGTAGCACCATTTAAAAGGAAAGTTTACAGGCTTTCCAACAATATAGTATTGCCAAGAAGCATTGTTACAACAAAGAAATAATCTACCAAACACAAACATCCTTATTTTATGTGCAAAGTTTTTATGACCAGGAAACACATACTGTAGCTTCAGGACCGTTCAAACAAAAAAAAAAAAACAAGACAAAATATATTCTAAGAATCCACATAGAGTTGCAAGAAAAATAAAGCAGCCTCTGACAGTTTTAGAGTTTTACATGGAATGAAAATAAGTTTGATCTGATCTTCACCACGTCCTAAAATGATTTAAATCTTACTTCAAGAAGCAGGTGCTGCTGCTCATCAATCTGGAAAAGGTTAAAAATCATTTCCAAACAATTTGGAGTCCATCTTTTTACAGAGAGAAAGATCATTCACAGGTAAATTCACCCTGAAGCTCAGACTGTGAAATGCTCAGAGAAACTGAAAAATAGAAACTATGCAAGATGGGATAATTAGAAAAGGGCTGATAGGGCTTGTTTGGAAGAGAGGCAGGAGGGGGAAAAAAACCCTCTAAATTATCCCAAACAGCAGCAAATCCACAACAGAACATTTAGACTTGAATCATTTTAGAACCAGGTCATTTTTTATGAAGTCCTGATATGTAAAACCCTAGATGTGAAAGAGGGTGGACTTTCAAAACAGAAAAGTTTGAGTTAAAAATAACTTAAATAAAAACAGATTCATCTCTTCGAGTCTTGACATCTCAACTCCAAAAGGCTTCAAAACATCATGAAAATATCTAATTTTAGTGAGTCTGTTGACATAAAAAAGTCTGATCACCAGTTTTTGTTATGCTGTGAAACAAGGAGTCGAATGTTAAAGAGGGAGAGGAAGTAAAAAGCCAGAGGCTTAAAATGTGTTTGGGGAGACACGGTTTAGGACACGTTTTGTCGAGTGCAGGATTACTGTCCCCTCCTCGCTCTGATCCACACGTCACAGAGCCAAGCAGGGCAATTCCAGCAGTTTAAATTTGGCTGCTTATTCTGAGGAGAGATGGTTGAAATGAAGGTTTTCTGTTTTGGGGACGAGTTAGTGGTCGTCGTCGGTCACCTCAAACTGGAAACTAACAAAACAAAAGTGAAAAAAAATGCGCATCACCCAGAGTTTAAACTCAGTGGCAGATACAACCATGTTCAATGTCTGAACGTTTCATATAATTCTGCACACAGGTTTATATAGTAAAACTGTCAAAGCCTAAGTTTAAACTTAGATCATGCAATTTGTTGAGTATGACTCTCAGCTACTATAAAACTGACTGATTCATCATCATTTTTGTTTTTTCTGGTTTCAGTTGGATAAGCAGCCTCCCTGCTTAAACACAAAGTAGGTGTACTTTAATTGATTGTTTTCTGAAAGTTTTACTGAAATCTTTCAACTAGTTAATGCCGATATTTTGAACAAAGACCTCATGCAATCTGTTAGAGCTCAAAGTATAAGTTGGAGCTAAATCTCAGCTACTTTAATTTAAGCGTAATATCTGTAAAAATAAAGCCTAGGTGTAAATTTAGACTGGAAGACTCTCTCCACCTCTCCTGCTCCATCCAATCACCGCGTCATGCTCCCAGCTGCAGTCAATCAGCGTCAGATCCTCGCCTCACCATACCATTCATCTCACAGGTATCTAGGTCCAAAGGCCCAGCACCCAAGGATCAGTCTGCTCTCAAAACGCGTTCAACTAGTGATGGGCAAATTAAGCTTTTCTGAAGCACTGAAGCTTGCTTTGAAAAAGGGTTCATTACTCAAACTAAGCTTTTCAACACAGTCTTCTTTGGCTCTATCTTGTGGCCAAAAGTATGAAAAGCCACTTCAAACAACACAAAGTGAAGCACTTCATCATGATGGAGTTGACAGCTGTATAAGAGATGTTTCTGTTAGATATCAGGTTGTCATTGTGCTGCTTTGAACTTCTTTTTTGTAGGTGAGAGAATAAAGTTACTGTTTATGGTTTATTGTACCTAATCTTAAAGTGTGTCTGTTCTTTTATACTGGATTATTTCAAGGTCAAGATCTTTATAAATTTTCATCTAAAAACAAAATAAATTCTATACACAACAACAAAAGTTCAATCATATTTAAATTTGTAACGTGTAACGAGGTGTTAAATCTTAATGTAAAGAAGTAAAAGCACCATTTTTATGTTTTGAATGTAACAAAATTAAAATAAAAGTTGTGATTTAAACAAATACTATCTTAAGTCCTGTAACAAAGTAAATGTACTTAGTTACTATGCGCCTCTGCTGAATTGGGTTTAGACCAGAAGTTAATCAGTCGTAGATGTAAACCAAAAGATCACTTTCTGAAAGTTTCATTAAAAAGTGGTTCAAGAGATATTTTGCTAACAGAGTATACAGCTGTTCTCCTGCATCTTGTCATTAACTCACCAAGAAGGTCCACCTTGCTGCTTTTCACAAACACAGCAGATGGACTCGTAGGAGCTGGTGAGCTCAACTCGTTGGTTGGAGTTTCCTGTTGTAGAAAAGATCAGCATCATTTTAATGTAAACAACTCTTCAATGCATCATACAGTATTTATAATACCTGATCAAAGAGATAGATGGTGACATCATCAAAGAAGGACACGTTCCGTCCTCGATCCCGCTCTCTGTCCAGCGGTTCTTTGGGTGATTTCAGCAGACTCCTCAGCCCGATGCGTTTGTCCACGTCGGTCTCTGTGATGACAATCACCCTGCGGGAGCCTTCGTCCTCTTGCTCCTCCTCCTCTTCCTCATCCTGGTCGCTTCCTGACGATAGGCCTCTTCGTCTTCCGATGCGGTTTCCGATGGCCCCGGTCCCAAATCCAGCTTTGCCGCTCGGGGTAAGAGGGAGATTCAGAGCAAGAGGGGGGAGTGCGAGAGATAGACGGGCGAGCTTAGCTATAAAAATAAACAGTGAGAAGAGGTGTTGGACATAATTTGTGTAAAAAGGCCTTATGATTTATAATTTTTTTCCTGACCCATGAACCAAGAAGTGTAATCATTTTCAATTTGTTTTTTAAAGTTGAACACTGAATTAATTTCATAGACAGTTTGATGTTACCTTCCCTCATTTATTAGGCGTTAAAACTCTACTGCATGGGCGGAGCTAGACGTTTTTGGAAGGGGTGGCACAAAGGTGGCACAGGTATTATTTAGGGAGGCAGTGGCACATACATGTATAAATAAAGAAAATTAACCTAGATTTGCAAATACAAGATGGCCACCACAGCCAATTTCAAATGAAAAAAGACATATTGAGCTAAAATCTGTTGTTCTACCTTTCATTGTCTGGTTAGCTGCAGGTTGAGATGTGGTTATCTCAGGTTGTTCAAGCACAGTGAGGGGCTCAGGTTTAGTTTGATCAAACTCTCTGGGTGGCTGATTGTTGGAGTCAGCCTCCTGATCCTCTTGGCTGAAATAAAGAAAAATGATGTTTACAAAATTTACATTATTTGTCAACGTGTGACTCTTTGGAGTTATCAGTAGTCATTATCTCACCTGCTACAGACAGCATCTGAGTCAATTTAGAGAATTGGGGCAGAAGTTTTAACAGGGTAGACAAGCTGTTGCTCTTCTGAACATATTTTTGCGATCTAAAAACAATTTCAATCTCAAAAATCTCACACTGTTTCAGAAGAATGCTATTCTTTAAACACTTACACGGCCATCAGTTCTGCATTACATGATTACATGTTCATCTATGGTTATTAGCACTGAAGGCAAATCAAAACGGTTTCAACATGAAACATTTTAGCTGTTTGATGCAGCTTTATTGCTGTAAGAAACAAACAAATGAACTGTGAGAACATTTAGGTCAGATTAGAGTTGTTTTCCTATGGTATTTGAAATTTGTTTGGGATCCGAGCCCATTCTGACTATCCATTAGCTTGTCTTTTTCTCTTTTGAAATGTCTACCTGAACAATTTCTGCTGCAGGTAAGATAATGACCTCTGTTAAAAACTCTAAAGAACACTAAATTAAAAAAACAAACAAACAAAACTTTTATTTTAATAAGTTCTGTGGGATAAAATGATGGGATGTCGTAACTTGTCCACAGCTTTCAAATAAACAACGGCAGTAAATGTCAGGTTTATTCTACTAATTCACACCTGATGATTCAGACTGTGGCATTAAAGGAGATATATCATGCTTTTAAATCCTTCCTTTTCAGGTTTAAATCATTCAGTTGGGGTCTATAGAAAGTGGACCTGCAATGCTTTGGTCTGAATTTCTCCTTATTGTAACTCCACATGCCCCTCTTTCACTCCTGTTCTGAGCTACGTCACTTTAGTGCAGTGTCTTTAAATGCAAACAAGACATTTCACACACTGCCTTCTCCACCCTGTTCAGCCATTTTTGTATTTTGAGAAAAACATTTTATTTACAAATAATTAAAAGATGTCAACAGGAGAAGACTTGTCCATCCAGCCTCACAGGTTGAAGCCAGAGTCTGACCCAGAGCCAGAGGAGAATGATGACACCACTAATTCACAAAATTGGTAAGCCTGATGTTTGTTAAGAAGTTCCACAGCGAATATTGTGATGTAATTGTTCAGAAAATATAATAGACATTGGTGGATTGAAAAATATGATCCCAATAGAATATAAAGATATCGACACAGCACCAGGAGACAAACTTAAACTCTTCTGCATTCCTAGAGACTCCAAGTACAACAACATGCATTTAACAGCTAGAAAGGGGGATTTTGCATGATATCTTTGTGGTGATTATTGCAGAGAAAAAATAAAACAACATGAGTTTGAACAATTTTGCTGTATCCATTTTCTACAAAATAAATAAATTCTGAAGAAAATCTAACAGGATTTCTAAAAACAGCATCTTCAACTGGTCTAACCTTCACCTCGTGTGGAAGTTTTTATTCTAATGTGTGTGATCATGAATGAAAACACCGAAAATCATTGTTCAGATTTGGCACTAACCTGTATACTCAATTCATGACATCAAACAAATATCCTGCACCATTAATCAAGAGTTTAAATAGAATTATAACACAGGTGTCTACTAAGATAAGCATAAAGTGATGTCATTGTGAGCTAGACAAGTTAAAAATCCCCTGGCCCAACTTTATATGAAGATTTGAGGTTGATTATTTGGCCACTTTCAGCCTCTGTACCTCTCATCTTCTGTTTGCTCTTTCGGCTCACAGCTGCTTTCTGTGATGTTTTCCCCCCAGGGCCGGAGCGTAACAGTCTCCTTCACGTCGTCACCCCAAAGAACGTTTGTTTTCACGTTTTCGCTGAGGGAGAACTGCAGCCTCTCCTCGCACACCTGAAGCATTAAAGTCAAACCAAAATTAAAGGAAAGGTCACGCAGGAAGCAGCTCTATGCTAGCTGAGAGAATTGCGAGTGGACGCACTCACCTGCATCCTCAGGCCGTTTTTGGTCGTCATCTTGGAAAGACACCCCTGGTCTTTAACTTCAGGTGATCTCTGCTCATCATTCCTCTCTTCTGGTGACGACAGATTGTCTTGGGAATCCATGATCTCTGTTTTATAAGATTCCGCCACCTGATTCGACTCATCAGAGATCTCTTCTGCTTTTAAATCCACCCCGCTTCCCTCGGGGGAAGACCATATTTCATCGCCTGATTCGGTTTCACCTGCGCCCTTCTGATCAGGGCTTTTCTTCAAAGACTCCAGGAGCTCAAGGTTTCCAAAGAAAAGCTCCCCCAAAGTTTCCTCCTCGTCCCCAGAGATGCAGCAGAGCTGCTCCAGTTTCTCAAAATCCTCCAGCGGTTCCTCGTCCAAATCTTTCCACTCTGAAATCAACAACTCAGGGATGTTTTTCAGCACATTCGGGGCTGTGGAAGGAACTGCAGGAGAAGTTCTCTGTGAAAAGTTACCATGATGATCCTGACTTTCTATGTCTGATGTAAAGTTGTTATCATCTGTAAGTATTATGTGCACAGAGGTGAGGCTCAGATTGGCCGAGATCCCTTTATTCTGAGTTGCAGCGGGTGGTAAATCTTGCGGGGGCTGCTCTGAGACGTCTGCATTGTCGGGTGGTGAAATATACGACTCTGTCTCAGAGCTGGTGTTAAAGTCTTCTAGATTAATGTGAGTAATAAAGTCCTCTGCTTCTATAACAGAGGGTGGTGGGCTGGGAAAAGAGTCATCTAAACTTTCCAGTTTATCGTCTTGTACGTCGAGATCTATGCTCCGAGGTGGACTTGGAAAATCCACCGAACTGAAATTGTCCATCTCTGGATATGACTGATCTGCGTCTTTCAGTGCTTCAAAGGTAATGGGACTAAATGGCATTTCTCTGTAGTCCTCATCGACTCTTTGCACTCGTTCTTCGGTGTATTGCTGAGTGAACCACTGTCTGATTTCTGCTTCTGGTTTGAAGCCTGCTTTGTCATTCTCCTGGTCTGAGAAGTTTGTGTGAGGAGCTTCGGTGATGCTGATGGATGTGTTTGAGCTTTTGTTCTGTACAGCATGGCTGAGGTCGTGCACAGCTGTCTGGTCCTCTCTGAGCTGATTCTGAGGCCATCTGTTAAAGTTTTGATTCTCCTCCATGTCTCCTTCCAGGCGTGAGGAAGCCAGCCTGTCTCCTTTCACAAATGATTCATCATCTGGGATTTCTACGTTTTCTACTTCGATATCGGACCTCATTCTCTTTGCCTTTCTCTTGAAACTGTCAATCTCCTCCAAAGTTTCAAGGTTTTCCTCCTGCTGTACGTCCTCCTGTGGTTGGTTGACTGAACCATCAGAGACCCACATGTCCCTCACAGTTAGATTGTCACTCAGTGTTTCATTGGTCCAGGTTTCTTCACAGTCCTCCAACGCAGCAGGGTGAGGCTCACTTCCTGCAAGCTCATCATTTTCTTCAGTTTCCCAGTTCAGTTCACCGATGATTGAGCTCTCCCTCTTCTGCCACTCCTTATTTCCAGAGAAAAACTCAGATCTCAGTTCGACTTCTTGGCACCTCTTCTCAGGGGAAGCCCACTGGTTATTTTGGTCAGGCCATATGTGCTGAGCCAAGCGGTGGCAGTCGAGTTCCCCTGTAACAACTCCAGATCCTGGTGTTTCCTCATCCTCCTCCAGAGCGCTCCACCACTCCTCGGACATCACATCCAGCTGCCCACACAAATTGTTACTCATATTTTTATTAGAATCATTAACACTTGTGTCTCTGCTCTCCGGAGGTTTTTCCTTCAGGTCTTTTTGATGTGTCTCCACCAGGACCTCCTCAAAATCTTCTCTCTGGTCTGAGCAGAGCAGGTTTCTCAGGCCCAGCTCATTGTGGTCCAGACCAGCCCTCTCTTCGGTGCCCTGCTGGGGCTTCATGTCATCTTTTGTCAGAGTTTCATCTCTCGATCTGCCCTCAGAGCTTTGAACATCACAGATTTTGGTTAACCTGGATTTCGTGGATTTTGGTGCATTCAGGACATTCTCTGTCTCTGGAACACTTGTGCCGTCTTTTGAAATGATTAAACCACTCGTCTCTGCAGGGCTCTTAGAATGCAGGTTTAAGTTGCTCCCCTCTGAGTATTTGTAATCTGTTATTTTAGAAATTATGCCAGCCGTGTAGTGGCTGTCTATCACAAACGCACCACTGTGCGACAAAGCTTTCAGAGGCTCATCGTCTAGTTTGGAAAACAACTTATCGATGAAGTCAACGCAGTCCTTGACCTCAAGATCGTCACACAGCAGGGTTGATCTGTTGCTCTCGTTGTGAAAAATGCCAGAATCATCTCTTTGTGTGGACTTCAGCCCTTTGTTCAGAGTATCTTTCTCAGTGCCTGAGTGAGATCTGTCATTTGTGTCCATGTTGTCACAAATATTAACAGTTCTTTCCTTTCCAGTTCTCGTTTCATTACACAAAGCATGCAAACTGTTCCGTAACGGGCTCTTCTCGCTCGCCTCTCCCTCCTCCTCTGTGTTCTCCTCTATCTCTGTCAGTGTCCCGCGCTCGCCGCCACGCCCGCCACTTGTCCTGGAGGCAAGGCCATCGCCATTGCTCCTCCTGCTTGTTCCATCACCCTCCCAGTCGCTGTCCGAGAAATAGGCGGAGTCTCGATGAGGCGTTTCATTTCCCAGAGCCCGCCACCCGCTTCCTCCGCCTCCTGTCCACGAGTCGCTGGGCGTGAGGGCGTCTGCTGAGCTGGAGGTCAGGGGCGACAGGACCGAGTCGGTGGGGGTGAGGAGTGAAACATCAAAGGACGGATTCCACTCTGGAGTGCTTGGACTGGCTGAAAATGTGGGTTCTTTTTCGGTGATATGATTGTGTTTTACTTTATTACCGGTTTCAAAATCCACACTTTTAGAGCTCTCTAAATTTGAGGTATGATCCTGCTGCACACCATCACACTTTCCTTCAGATCTGGCCTGCAGGTTATCTTTCATTATGTCACCATTCTCTACCACAGCAGCAGTCTCAGTTTTATTTATAACAAGAGGGTTGTTCTCGTGCAGCATCACATTTTTGGACTCGGTTCCACTCTCAGTAGATTCAGAAGGAGACAGATCTGTTAGATCGCCTCTAGCAGGTAAGGCAGGTCCGTCTGAGCACTCCTCCTCCTTCTCCTCCTCCTCTTCTTTCTGACACTCCAGTGTCTGATTGTGTAACAAACCATTTTTGGGCATTATTTCTGAAAACACAAATTCATCGGACTGGCAGTGATCAGCATTGTTTCCTTGGCTTTCTAGTTTCAGAGGCTGATTATTTGATCCTATGTGGAGTTTGGGGATCTCGGGTCTGATGGAAACTTTGACCTCGCTCTTTTTAGCTCGTTTGGTCACTTGGGCGTAAATGGCCTCGGTTTGTGTGTCATCTTTGCCCTTGTTGGCTGCCCGTACGGAGCTCTCCGTCTGAAACCGGATGGTCTGAGCAGAGTCAGGGTCAAAGCACAGGGACTCGTACTCGGGGGACAGTGGTGTCGGGGAGGTGGGAGGATCTGATTCCATCCTGTTTGTGGCAGCGGTTTGTCTCGATATGATTTCAGTCAAAAAGGTTTCTGCTGACTGGATCTCTTTTAGGAACTCCTCCCTTGTCATTTCAGTTTTCTGTGGCTTCTGAATTTCAGATTCCTGCTTCTCGACAGCGATCTCCGCAAGGAGAGATCGGGATCTCCGTATACCTTTGGTGCTGGTTTCCTCAGCCTCTCTGCCGGGGCTGCAGACATAGTGCTGCAACCTGGAACCTGAAGGATAGAGGTACTTTACTGAATCACTTTCTGATTCGTCTGTGTCCATCCTCTCTGTGTCGACCTCTGTGAGAAAAAGATCTTTCTGGAATGATTCATCTGGTATTACACCGTCCTCCTTGGCTCCTGTCCTGTTGATGTGCTTTTCTTGTCCCCAAGACTGTCCTGCTGAGCTGAGCTCTGTGATCAATGACTGGGAGCGGCGCATCCCTTTGCTGGGCAGCACAAAATTTGCCCATCTCTCTCCGTCTCTTTTCTCCTCCTCTTCCTCCTCCTCCTCTGATTTGGCCTCTGTCACACTTGATATCTCTGTCAGAAACAGATGCATCGGAGACTTTTTCGCGGCCGCGACATGCTCCGCCTGAAGTTCAGCGTCTTCCCTCCAAATGGCCGGCAGGATGGTGTCGAGGCGGGACTGGGTCCTTTTCATTCCCCGTGAGAAAAGCTCTGCGGTGGCTGGGTCTGCATCTTCAGACAGGCTGGAGTGAGTGACCGTCGTCCCGCTGCCAGGTCTCTCGGGGGACGTGAAAGGGGAGTCGTCCTCGTCTGAGTATGTGGGACTTGATGAAGACTGCCTGTCGATCTGGATGTTTGTTTGCTGAGGGTGAGGTGGGTTTTGATAAATAGCGCGCAGTGGGTTTTCTCTACGAATAGGAGAGTCAAAGTCTTTTGCCCGGGAGTGTGATGCTTCTTTGGAGGGGTGTGATGACGCTGCATGCCTGCTGTTGTTCTCAGACGTGTCACAGTATAGTTGGTCTCTGCTGGGTCTCTGCATCTGTGGTCTGGCATATCTGGTGTCTGTGCTGTAGCTGGGGAGACTTCGTTGAGATTTGGCGTGAGGAGGAAGAGGAGGAGGACACATTTGAGGGTAGATTGGATGGCTTGATGGGGGAATGGAAGGGGAGAGAGACGGGGAGGGCGGCAGAGTCTGTCGAGTCCGATGGAGGCCGAGGTGATCAAGGGTAGAAGGTGGGCAGGAGCTTGTGTGATGGGGGTCTGTTTCGATTTTGCCACCGACGGTATAGTGAGGAAGTCCTCTGTAGCCGAGAGGCGGGGCGGGGAGGGGACGGGAGTGAAGGTGGTTGGATGAAGACACGGACATTGAACGAGGCTTGGGAGGGAGAAGCGGGGCTTGAAACGTTGCCGAGCACTTTTTATCCGCTCCGTTGTGCTTTTTATTCACCACTTCATCGTCGTCCCCCAAGTCCACCACGGAGAAGTCCGTCACTCTGCTTGAAGTGTCCCTGAACTCTGCCACGCCGGTGTTCGGCACTTGGAGCTGAACCTCGTTCGATCTGACCGTGTAGAGTGTCTTTTCAGTCTTCTCGGAAGAACAATAAGGGACTCGCTCTTTTCCCAGCATTCCACTGCGAATCTCCACAAGCTCCACGTCTCCCGGACAGACTGAATCGGACAGTAAAGACGTCTTTGACCTGCCTTTAAGTGTCGGCGACTTGTCTTGGGGCGTGTGCTCCTCCAGTCGGATGTAGTACTCGCTGGCGAGTGAGGGGCTGCGGGCACTGATCACTGGCACAACAGTGGGTGTGTCCAAGTTCTGTCTGTGGTTATTGTTCACAGTAGGGATTTGCTGAGGAGGAGGAAGAGGTTTGTAGCCTCGTCTGGCGTGAGCTTTCTCCCAGAAATACTCAAAGTTTAAGCCTTTGCTAGTTTCCGTAACAGTCAGGATGTCGTCCAGTTCAGACGAGGATGGGGTGATGCAGTTCCCCACCGGGTCCAGCAGAGGGTAGGAGTTGTCTCTGCCGTCCCTGCCAAACTCTCTGTCCCGATGCCGTTCATTCGCTGTGGTCTGAAAGGCAGGTGGACGGAGGAGATTCCAGCGTCTTTCAAATGATTCCTCGCTCTCCCCTCTCCTTCCTCTGCCCTCTTCATACTCCTCGTCCTCTTCGTCCTCCTCCCCGACACTCCTCCTTGCCAGTCCTCGCTCAGCAGCAAGGAGGGAAGACAGGAGGAGGGATATTTCAGGGACGGATGGTCGCTGTGATGGGGGAAGCCAGCAGGACTGCATGATTTCATACCTGACAAAAAAAATTCACAATAAGTCTGATAAAACAGATTTATATAACTTTAGGTTACAATGATACAGTTAATAAAAAAGGTACTAACCAGTAATCTGCATGAGAGAGTTTTAGTCTGGGCTGGGCCAGCGTGATCTGTCGCTCCCTGATGACAAAAGTGAGCACCTCTTCATCGCTCAGGTGTCTGTGGGGTTGAGCACCAAACTCAAACAACTCCCATATCACCACCCCTAATGACCTGTCAGAAAAACACAAAAAATATTAGAAGACCAATAATAACCAAGAAGTTCAAACTATGTGTAACCTTTAAAAAAATCATATAAACAAGCTTTTAATTTTGTTGGTTAAGGTATGGACCCTGAGTTTTTATAGGGCATATATAGGGCAATCACACAGATTTTTCAAATCTCACGGATCTTTTCAAAAAATTAACTTCAAGTTTATTTCACATCTCAGAGCCTGTAGTACATAAAAAATAAATACAACAATAAATAAAACTAAAAAAAATGAATCTCCCAACCTGCTCTGCCACTATGGTAGAAATAAACTAAAAATAAATCTCCACCTCTCCCCATCCTCCTACCCTGCTCTTCTACGCCTCATGTTCTGGCCTTCCCCACGGCCAACAGCCCTCTTGCAACCCCAACACCAGATTTTTTGTGAAAATTATAGATTTTTGAGGGTTATTATACAGGCAAATGTCTGAAGGGGTTTTCATATATTGGATAATCGCCTGTCATTTCAGCATGATTGTACACAATACTGGAAACCAAACAAAACAGAATTTACTAAATCAGTGTTTTCTTCATGAGTTTGTGACTTACCACACATTGCTGGTTTTAGTTTGGTCGGTGACAATCAGAGAGCCTCTGTACTCCTCCAGCAGCTCGGGAGCAATCCACCGCAGAGGGATCCACAGCTTGTCAGGAGTCAGGTAATAATCCTCCTGTAGAAGAATATAATGAAACAAGATGGGAAGTAGCACAAACACACTTTCTCTTTATTAGGTTTATTTTTCAGAGGAGCACAAACTCAGGTACCTTATAATGATTGTGTGAGAGGCCATAGTCACCTATCCTGACAGTAAGGTCAGATGTCAGGAGGCAGTTTCTTAAAGCCAAATCACTGATAGGAAATAATAATAATAAAATAAAGATTAAAAATCCTTGAATTATTGAGTTGGGTTGAAACATAAAAACAGGTGAAATAAGACTCAGGACTGACCTGTGGATGTAGTTGTTTTCATGAAGGTGCAGCAGACCCGAGGTGATCTCAAAGGCCATTCTCTGGAGAGTCAAGAGGTCCCTGGTTGGCAGGTCTGGAGTCATCCCATCTGACTTACGCTGGGCTCGCAGATACCTCTTCAAGTCACCCTAAGTTGTAAATTCACATACACACATGTGGTAAAAATGACATTCCTTCCAACATTTATCTATGACGAACTACTTCCACAACTCTCCTCCATAAACTGGACACACTTTGTCATGCATGCAGCCATTTAATTTGTCACTGGAGCTTCCTTCAGCACCCATCACTGCACTCTGTATTCCCTGGTGAACTGGTCCTCTCTTCACTCCCACAAACAAACAAACTGGTTTCTGTTGATCTATAAAACCTCATCCTACCTCTGCTCATTACTCAATATCCATAGCAATGTTTGTACCTGCTGCTCCAGCAAGTACATTAATCTTTCTATACCCAAAGCACGCACCTCCTTTAGCTGTTTCTCATTTCAGTTTTCTGCTGTTAATGATTGGAATCAGCTGCAAAAAACCCTACATCTTACTTCTTTTGTCCCATTTGCATTGTTTAAAAACACAGCAAGAGCATCGCATGATGACGGCTGCACATGCTTTTAGCAATTTCCACTTCAGTCTCCGTTGTCACTCATTTGTATCGTGAACCTGTCATTGTTCTTTGTTAACTTCTCACGTGGTCTGCACTATTTGAGGTTTGTTTATTGTCCGTCTTGTGCTTTCCTTTTCCTGTATTTGCTGCCTCTTGGCCAGGGCGTCATTATAAATGAGCTGACTAACCTGGTTAAATAAAGACATTCCAACAATCTATCTGTCCATGTTTAAACAAAGGGTGAATCAACCGCAGCTTGAACATAAACATGTCTGTGTTTTGTGCTCTCCTTGTAGAGCAAAGCTAAAGATATACTTCTGCAGCAAATGCATTCATTTATTTTAGGTGTTTTCCACTAAAGAGCATTGAAAATAGCTGGGGAATTAGTAATGAGCTTTTTATTATTCATCTATGTTGCACAGCAACAAAACAAGGATAAAAAACATTTTAAAAAATATGTGTGAGGAAAGGACGAAGGGAGATTATTTTCAGACAGCCTGCAGGCCAGCTGAGAGGACTCCAGTGTCGATTCACTTCTCTCACTTAGTTGTAATCGATCTGTTTGTGTCTTTGTTTGACCTGAGAGTCCACTCATAAGATTTTCTCATCAGTCACTGCTGAGAAACATAAACAA